GAGGCGAATCCTGCATCCCAGCACCAACAGGATTTTTATTTCTCATTTCTCTTTTCCCCTTTGCTTTTAATAATTTTGGTTTTTTTCCACTCCTTTTAATTGCTTTTCCAGCAGCTGTCACACAGCTGGAATCAGGATGGAGTTTTGTTAGGTTGGTTGTTTTTTTTTTTTGGTTTTTTTTTTGGTTTTTTTTTTGAAAGAAGTAGGTTTCCAATGGTTCTGCATTCAAAACAGGGAGGTGAGGAAATCAGATAAGCCAGGAAATCCAAATGAATTGGAAGGGTGTGCAGCCACACGGCAGTTCAAGTAGTTAAAGGAATTTGACTGTCCTGGAACTTCAACAGCTTGAGGACTCGGCCTCTGATTTGCAGAGCTGACGAAAACCACAAAAGCCGTCTGGTTGTTGCTTAACAAAAGGCCACAGCTCTTCTGCAGCTGCCAATTTACTCATTTTCAAGGAATTAGCTCATTTAGGAGAGGAGCAGAGCGTTTTCCTGCATCCCTTCCCATTGGGCAACAAGCGAGAAATGGGGAAGGCTTCTCGTAACCACAAAAAAAGCACAGCCGAGATGCACTTCACTACAAACCCACTGCATTTCTGACACGTACCCCATGCCATACACAGGGCAGGCAGTGCCTGTGCCCTGCCATGCCTGCACGTTATCTATAGAAAATGTATTTTAACAGAAAAATGAGCTCTGCTCTGCATGCTCCTTGGTTTCCCATCCTGCGCACTGGGGGCTGCTCCGGGCTCTGCCGCTGAAGTGGGACCCCAGTCCAAGGCAAGGCGTTGGGGTTTCACTGAAAAGCAGCTAGAGAGCAGGTAGCACTTCAAAATATCATTAATTAAATCCCCAAGCAGTTGCTCCATGTGATTTCTGAAGAAGGAGCTCAGGACCAGCCTTGGATCAGCCCTTACATCTACAAGGAGGAAGGCTGAGGACGGAGCCAGCATCCTCCAAGGGGGACACTCAAAGCAATGCGTTTCAGGAAAAAAGAACTGAAAGCTCCAGGGTACTCTTACAAAGGAGAATTTCAGCATGCTAAACTAGGGATTTGCTGGAGATCTCTTCAAGGGAGCATTACAAGGGAATGGATTAATTTTACAGCTTTAAATAAATAAATAAACTGCACGCTGCCGTTAACGCACCATTAAAGACAAACTAGTGGGAAAACCTGGGAACTTTGACCAAGTTCAGATTAAATTTCTTTAGGGTTATTTTCCTCCCCACCGTGGGGTCTAGGGACACCGAGGCACAACCCCCTCTCATTTTGCTAAGTCCTTAGCTGATCCACAGGGCTGGAGGTGGACCTCCTCCTCCTCCTCCTCTTCCTCAGCAGCGGGTCACGCCAGGAGCTGGCAGTCCTGAGGAGCAGGCAGCGTTCTTCATCCCTGCAGACCACAGTTTTGTCTTCCAGCTTCAGCCAAACCTCTCACCAGCAACATTTCGCCACCCCCTCGCGCCAGAGCGAGCACCCATCCAGCCACAGAGTCAGTTTGCCTTGGGCATGGAGCCAACCAGAAAAATGAAATTTTTTTTTTTTTCTCTCCTCTCTTTGGTGGGATTACTTTTCAAGTGGAGGAACGCGATTCACCCCAGCAGATGCACGGTGCAGCATGCCAGCAGCACGCAGCTGCCGTGGGGTCGCTTCAAACCCGAAATTGGGCTGAATTAATCCGGCCGCTAACACGATACAACTGCGGGCGGGCAGATCCCAAGCCTTGCAGTACTGCGATCCTCCAAATTCAATTAAAACTCTGCAATTACTGCGGCCTGACACCCCCAGCCATGCCAAGAGCCGGGGCCCCCCATGCTCTGCCCAAGCCCCCCAAGCCCCCCATCTCGTTGCATGCCCTGGCGCGCTCCAGGGAACGGCAAAGGCTTTTGCAAACAGCCCCCCTCTTCCTGGCCCAGCAAACCACACGGGCGACGGCAACGCAAGCATTTAACAATCCAATCCATCTTTATTTCGGTAGTACTTTCTGCTGGGAAAGGAAAAAAGCCTCGACTTGGCTGTATTGGTAAAGTGGTAAAAGAAAGGCAGGTGTATAAAATAAACTGCAAATGCCTCAAAGCACCTGGCGGCAATGTCAGGATGCGCGTTACAAACACATCACCTTCAGACCTGATGCCTTCTGCTTCTGCTGGCAGAGTACTGGATGTCGGCTACGCAACGGACTTCACTCACCACACCGAGATGTTTTTAAATAAAGGCTTTTCTTGGTAATGTAAACAAAAATCAGACGCATTAAATTCCTCCCTAGAAAAATACAACCTTAAAATAACACCATAAAGTAAACGTACCTTCCCAGTTTCGGATATACTAGCTAATATTTCTCACAACAACTCTACGAAATAACTAAAACCTTTGTAACTGGGAACAGTGGCACAAACCAAACTGATTTGCAGGTCCCACAGTCAGCCCGAATCCAGCTGCCTTGGCTCCAGGTTAACTCCTAGAGCACCCGCTGGGTGCTGGGATTTGGCAGGTCACCGCTAACAGCCAGACACAGGGAATAATGGAATGGAGCTGAATCGCGGGAACAAAGCGCTCACGTTTCCAGGGGATTCTCTGGTTTAATTTTGCATGTGTTTTTTCCCTATTCTGGCAATTACAGACTTCATATGACGCTTTGAAGGACTTCTGGTTACAATGCGTTCTGATTACAGTGACCTTTTGGGGTGGCACCTGATGCCACGCTGACACATGATGTCACGACGCCAAAAAGATCCCACCCAAATATGCAGTTAACTTAAGGAGCCAAATCTTTTGTACGTGGAACTGCAGAAATACAGTGCCACCATCAACCAGGTTACTCCAGGGTAAACAAGAACAGTAGCAAGCTGAGAAAATCCAGATGCTAACGAAGGCTTTCAGATGATCCATTTGGAACATTAGAAGATAAGAAACTATCTGAAATAGGGTGATGCCATCCAGACAGCATCAAACTACTTCACGGACTATTAACTCTAAGTTAAAGAAGAAAACTAAGACACCAAGGCTCACAGGTCACAACTCTACTTCCCGGAGCTCCCGTGGAAAGATGCTGTACCCTTGCTGGACAGATGTGCAGGCGACACTCAGCTGAAAACCCATTTACAAGAAGACATGGAAGTAAGAAACATGGGATTTGGGGGAGATGCACTTAAGCGTGTACATACAGACATGGGAAAGCATCGAGACAAAATTCTGGATCCTACTTTTGCTCTAAATAAAGGAAAATGCTCGGTGGCACTGGCCAGCAGCAGGGATGCAGCTGGGAGCAATGGGCAGGGGGGCTCCCGGGGCGAAATAAAAGGCTGCATAAACAAAAGAGCTGAATTGGGGTCGTTTTTCTCTTCTTGCAGGGAAGCTTCAGCCCTAGAAAGGTCGCTACTGGAGCTGCAGTTCAGATGCTGGTGCTGTAATCCCGTTCTTTACCCCTGTTCCGTTTCCAGCCGTATGCAAGCACCACGGCTCAGGGCTCATCAGAACGGGCAGATGCACGGGCTGCGCTCCCGAGGGGAAGGGACCTTCCCCTGGAGAAGCAAACGGGATGTCCAGGTGTTCCTGAAGTTCTTGGGCTCAAATTTTAACTCCAAACCAAAATCTGGATGTTTATATGCAATCTATGGGTACAGAATCTATATGTACATGAAGAGTTCACATCTCCCCGTAACAGAGTGAAAAACTAAGGAAAGCAGATTTTGGCTCAACGTGATGATAAACCGTTGCCAGACCTACACCATGCATTATTGCCTGATAATTACAAACAGTTGGGACACAGAACTCCACCATAACCCACCGTTTTTTTGAGTTGTCACAAGAAAAATAAGATATTTTCTAACTTTAGTATGAAGATACACAATTTCTATGACTTATGAAGCCAATGCTTCCATATAAATGCACCTCTGTATTTGCTCACTGCAGAACACAATGAACTGTTAGCAATCTTTAATTTCACCTTATAAAACTAAAAAGGTGATGATAACTTTGTGTAGAAAAAACAAAAAAATAATACATTTTTCAACATACATCTGTCATATCTTAGGATAAAGGATCACGTATTCTGCTCTTCCACGTGCTTCTACGCAAACCAAAGGCACCAATTCCTACTGACGAGGTCGTGAATTTGGATTTTAATTTTGGGGGGTTACGAAGGTGAATGAAAAATTGCCAGGCCAGCACAAAGCAAACGTTCCTGTGCCGAGCACGCTGCTGCGTTACCACTATCACAAGGACAGGTTAGGAAATGCTGTTGCACGTACTTACAAATTCACTGTCAAGAAAAATGAAAACATCTAAACTGGGCTCTGGTCTCTAAAACCAGCTGGCAGGACACAGGTCGTTACACCCAGCGAAAGAAATCAGGCTGTTTTTAATGACGACGAGAAATACCGACATCTCTGCAAACCCCGTAACTACACAGTTATGTCTTTGTACTTTTTACCAAGCGGGGGAAAGAAAGCATCGACTTCTGTACACCCCCTGTAACCCTACAGCGCATGCATCCCAGACATCAGCGCCACCCAGCACGGGTTAGCCACATCTGCCAACCTGCGGTGGAAAGAAACCCAAGTGTCAACGAGTGCCATATGTTATATCTGTAAATGAGCATTTTCACGTTGGCTGGATACCAAGCTAAGCTCGCAGTGTAATTCAGGACCCTCTTTTGCAGTGAACACAGTTACTTTGGAGTGGTTTTTTCCCCTCTCTTCCAAGCAGGTGCATCTTCTAAGCGTAAGCAGGGATGGATCAGCCGGCAGGGGAGCAGGACCTTGCAGGGCCACGCGTCTGCACGGCGCCTCGTCGGGCAGGCAGCGATGCCCAACCGTGGGCATGGGGCATGGCAAGACCCTGCGAACCAGCGAGCGGGTCCCGCGGGACAGGATGCTCCAGTGGGAGCTGGTTTTGCTCAACCACACGATTTCCAGGAAGGACAGCCCAACCCCAGGCAGCCAGCCCAGATTCCGGTGCGGCATGGCCAAGGGAGCCAGGTGGGTGCTCCCAGCACAACCAACCAACACCAGGAGCTGACCGGCTGTCGAGGCGGCGTCTTCTCGCTCAACGCAAACCGGCCAGCAGCGAGGGGAGAAGGGATTTCAGAACAGCCAGAGTCACCATGGGGACGCTCACCGCTTCCACCGCTATTGCGGCATTATCCCTAAAGCCAGGACGGTGGAAGGAACATGCTCCGTGCTTCCAAATACGAATTTTCCTCGTCCATCCCAGCTCCAACGTTTTCCACGCACGCGCCCCCAGCACGCACCCGGAGGATCTTCGCTTGCACAAAACCAGGAGCTGCCGAGCAGATCTGGAGCGTAAGGAGCTCAGAAAACAACTCGGTCCTCCTGCGTCCTCTCCCACCACAGGGTGCTGTTCAGGGTGCCAAAGCTGCTGTCCTCCTCCTCCTGCTCTTTAGCCAGCTCCACAAAAACCTGGAACAGGCAGGAAGGACGTGAGCACACCACGCTCCTCATAGGAGCTTTCTCGGTCACAAATAGAATTCACAGTAGAAATCTCAGGGATATGAACTGTATTGCTTCACCTCTGAGTAGGACATTTTCAGTACTTTGGGATTTTTTCCCCATGCTCCTACCATCCCCACCTCGTTTCAAGAGCACAAGTAAAGGGAAGTTGAACCAAATACAGGCTGAAGGATGTTTATCGTCAGCAATAACTAATCCAGAAGAAGCAATAACAAGCCTCAGCGTTACCCTCCCTTCAGAAACGAAGAGCAATGCCCACCTTCTGAATAAACCAGAGTGGCATTTCCACTAACGTCACAAATTTCTTTCGCTCCAGTCACTGCAGCTGGCGTGTCTTATTTTCAAAAGAAAGGAGAAAATGGGGACAAAGCGAGCAAGGGAACCGACAGCCCCAAATTCACTTTGGAAAAGGGGACTTCACTTCCCCAAAACTGCCTGAACAGGGAAGAGCAGAGCGGCCCCAGCTGCCTGCAAGCCAGGCAGGGGGGATGCCCTGCCCACACAGGGCTCATCTGCCCCCTCCATCCACGGCTCCCAGACAGCAGGGGCAAAGCAAATCCGCACCAGATGCCTGGGAAAACTCCGTCAAAAAATCTGCAACACCTTTGCCTGGCGGGATTTACTTCCATGAAATGTAATCTGCTTTACCATACCTGTTCCAGTGTCGCCTGAGAAAAGCTGTACTCCTCGATGTTAAAGGCGTGCTTTACTGTTGGAAGAATTAATGAGAGCGTAATTAGGGATACTTCACCATCTGACACAGCTGCATTTAAAGCATTTTAAGCTGGCACAAGTGCTCACTGGTGATTTCACCAGAAACAGAGTTGGGGACAGCAATAATAACAGAAAAGATCAATTAAATAAATTTGGAACGGCAATGCAGAAGTGCCACTGCATGGCAAATGTGTCAGTGATGGGAGACAAAATGATTTCTGCACAGGATGCGTGGCAAGCGCTCAATTACCTTCTTCCAGCTTGGAAAAAGAATGCGAAAGCGACTGTACATCTTCTTTAGGAATTTTATACGCCAAAATAGAAGCAAAACTGGAACAAAGAAACAGCAAATTTAGCTTCAGGTAAAATTACTCAAAGCAAAAATATGAATGTGCAAGTGAACTGATTTAAACTCATTTTCTGAAGGTTACTGCAGGCAGTTTGACTAATCATCATCGCACAAGACAACAGGAACGATGCCGCTGGTTTATAATCCCTCTTGGAGATCCAGGTCCAGGTGCATCAGCTGAGACCCGCCTGAGACTGCTCTATGATTTATATGCTCTTCAGCTAAGATTCAACCATTCATATTCTGCCTATAAAGTCATGAAATAAAAATCACTGCCCGGGACTCCCGAAGTTGGGAGGTTTTGCCTTTCAAATGAACTCAGAGGGAGGTCACAGCATCGCTCGGGACTTTGCATCGTCCAGCGGTTCCTGCAACCCAGACTCCAGAACAGGGAGCTGCTCTGCCCCACACATTCGATTCCAAAATATAAACTCTCCCCCAAGTCTCCCGGGCTGAGGAATGCTCCTTACACGATGCCTGCAGCGCCCTTTTTGGAGAGTCTCATCAGCAGTCACCAAGCCAGACCCTCCATTCCATCCGGCAGAAATTCAAAGCCGTTGGGGGAAAACTCAACCAACCCACCCCTCCAGCTTTGAGGGAATCCCCAGAAAACGTTCAAACGTTTCTAGATAACGAGGGCCAGTGACTCAGGGACTCAGATTTTAGCCCCGTTTCCTGGGGGACCCAACGAAGGAGGAAGCCTCCAAGCAACAGCTATGCAGAAATTGAGTTTTGCTTCCTCCATGCCGAACATCTGCACGCGGGGCTCGCAGCTGCCACCCTGGCAGCTTTTGCTGCCCTGCAAAACACCAAAAGACTTCCTCTTTTTTTTAAGCTACGTGTAAATATTTTTTGAAAATTTCAGCACCATGGCATTTCTTCCTCAACGCCAAGGAGCGGCTGAGAAATCAGGGGCTCGTATTCACATCAGTGTTTTCCGCGTATTTGTTGGGAGTTTACCTTTCCTGACGATTCGCGTTTGGGAAGATGTGCACAATCTGCCTCTGCAGATACTCCACCTGTTGTACATCTGCCGTTTCTTTTAATTTCATTTCCAAGAAGTATCCTCTGCCAAACTTACTCTTCAGGTGTTGGACAGTACCTATACACCTACCAATGGTAGAGAGAAAATAAATAGTCGTACATGCGCCACCACGCTCAAAAAGCAGCCTCACTTCTCGCAGACCCTTTTAGCAGTTTAAGTTTAGTTTTGCTCTGAGTTCCAGGTGCAAAAAAATTGTCTACCTGTATTTTCAAAGAAATATATTCTAGTCGACAGCTGTCCTATCCTCCCCACCTCAACACCCGCCTGCAGGGGAGGGTTCCGGTGGTACCTGAGCTGCCCAGACACCAGGATGGCCACGCGGTCACAGACAGCATCCGCCTCTTCCATGTAGTGAGTGGTCAGGATAGCCGCTCTCTCCTTATTCTTAAATGCTGCTCGAATTGCCCGCCTACAAAACATAACCCAAAAAACCAACCAACCAAACAAAAAAAACAAACCCTGAATAAAACATTTAGAATATTTGGCATGTACCAGTAAATCCTGGGTTAGAAAATTAACTCCATCCCAGCTGAAACCAGGAGAGTATGACATGACGACTGTGATGGTCAAACACAAACCCCTTATTTTATGGACCAACGCTGCTCCCACAGCAACCATGAAGATCTGATTTTTTCACACAGATGACTCAAATTTCATACTCCTTATATTATTTTAAAGATTTCTTTTGAGTTTCAAAGCTTTTAATGGCCAAGCTGTTCTGAGAGGGGACACAGATGAAGTGCACTGGCCACTAAGGCAGCGCTGATTCCCTGTCTATGGCTCTCTCTAGTGTTAACAGGGATAATGCACACGTAAAGTGGGACAAACCCCCAAAGAGAAACGATCCTGGGGCAAGCACAGCCCCGGCGGCACTCACCACATGTGCTGCTTGGCTTTTGGATCCATCCCGGTCGACGGTTCATCCAAGAGCGTGACCTGCGGGTTGCCCAGCATACTCAGGGCAAAGCACAGCTGGGAGGAAGGCAAAGGCAAAGGGTGAGGACACCACGGCTGCTGGAGACACCACGGCTGCTGGAAACACCCAGCATGGCAGCTCAGAAAGCTCCCCCATACCTTGCGTTTCAGCCCTACGCCCAGCTTCTTCGTTGTCTTCTGCAGGTGGTCTTTTAAATCCAGGGCGCTTGCGATGCTGCGGAAGGGAAAGGACCACATTGTGAGAAGCCGAGAGGGTGATGGTTCGGCTTCCCCCTCATCCCACAGAATGCAAACAGGCTCATTCGAAGAGCTCAGTTACAAATATCTGTAGGTATTTGTACATAAATTTTAAGAAAAGCAGAGCAGTGAGCAGAATTGGAGCTGGGCGCTTGCACACAAACCCACCCGCCCCATGTCCCAGAGGAGCCCAGGGTGACAACCTAAAACCAGCGCCAAGCCCTGGGCTCCCCATCCCTCTGCAAAGGTCATCGTTAGCGCTTCGTAACTTCGAATAAAAAAATAAAAAAATAAAAAAATACAAATACCAGTTGAATTTTGTGTGGCTGAATCTGTATCTCCTAACCCACAAATTCACACTTGCTGAAAAGATCCAATCAAACTTAAATGAAAATAAGATTGCATTAGGAAAAGGGAAAAAAAAAAAATCTGCTAAGAAGAATATAGCTAAACCTTAAACATTTCTGTAACAAACTACTCACCGTTTTATGACTTCCTTAACATCAGACTGACTCATTCCTTTGATAGCGCCATAAATTTCAAAGTGTTCCTGCAATGTAATATCTGGCCAAAGCGGGTTTGTTTGAGGACAGTACCCCACAAATTTCACGGAGTCCTCGTCGCTGTTCAGGCCAAAGGAATAATCTCCCATCAGAACCTGCGAGGAAAACACAGAATTATTGAGTAGGGTCTAGACAAGTTTCAGAACTGGTTTTGTAAAGTTTTAGCAAAAAACACTTGGGAATGCATGTAATAATAATAATAATAATAATAATAATTCATTTTCTATTTAGTTGGTAGCATGCAACGTACCTGCCCGCTGGTTGGCTCAATCTCTCCGACGAGCATATTAATTAACGTGCTTTTCCCAGCCCCGTTGGGTCCTAACAAACCCAGGATTTCTCCTGAAGAAAGGATAACACAAAACATTGCCCATGAGGTCAGATAAATGGATTCAAGAGTTCTTTTTGTAACTGAACCAGCTCAACAGCAAGTAATTAAACTCCAACCTTTTTTTACGCAGAGAGAAACGTGTTTTGTTGCCACTTTCTTTATTTTTCTCCCCAGAAGAAATTCCTTCCTTTCATCGAATTCTTTGTGCAAGCTGCTGACCAGGATTGCTGGCATCTAATAGAGAGGAGGGAAGTGGCTGCAGACCCCAGCAGCTCTGGGGAACATCTGGATTTGGGTTCTGGGTAGCGCCCATGGGCGCACGGCCATTACCTCCTCGCTCTTGGGGCCGCTCAATATTTCTTGGACGCGCAGCCTCTCCGCCTTCACGTCTCCATCTTCGTTCTCATCACGCGGGACGTCGGGGAACTTCCAGGTTTTGGCTTTTGTAAAACATTTTCTAAGGGGAAGAAAACAACGTGATGCCTCTGCTTGGCATCCAGTGGAGATCTGCTCGCTGCTTTGATGCGGAAAGCAATTTGTGTTTGCTGAACCCAGGAGTAACACATTTATGCAGCACATCTGAGAAGCCCCAGAAGAGCAGAAAGAGCTGTCAAGGACTGCAGCTACGTCATCTTTGTGCCAAGCTCTTTGCTGGGGTACAACATCTCCAGCCATGCAACAGGAAAGGAAGTTCCCCTATTTTTATATAGGGGACATCCTTACAAAATTCCTGATTTTGCACTGATACAACTTAAAAGGAAGTGAAAAACCTTGTTCTGCACTTTAGCGACTGAATTTCAGACAACTGACGTTAGGAGGACAAATTCTTTAGACACTGTGGATGGGATATAACCACAGGTATTTTATTTTCTGTAGTAACCCCATCGCTATCCACTGCACGCTCCAGTTTAATTACCAGCATCTTTTCTAAAACCAGCTTCTTTCGACTACTGCTTTTTAGAAGCCTATTGAACAGACGCACCTGAAAAATGGATCCTCTCTAACTGTCCTCCCCCCATTCTTCAGCTCGAAACATCGCAGCAGGAAGAGCCAGACGACACACTGCAAATAGGGCTAAAATGGACAAATACGGTTCTGGTTACGCGGAGCGCTGCCAGCCCTCCGAGGCTGGTGATCCTATAGGTGACCCTACAGGTGGTTCCACCAGTTCAACGAGTGACAAGAAGCACCAAGCTCCTCACCACCACCAAGTGCTGCTGTTTCCAAGAACATGAAATATGGCATTAGATGCTGCTCCGCGGGGCAACACCGAGGACGCAGAACCAGAGTCTGCTTAGATTTAATGGCAATTATTGGGTTTTTGGAGAGAGAAGGGGCTGTCCCCTGCTCTGGAGTTCCTGCTCCATTAGCAGAGACTCCCATAATAACGAGGATTAATACCAGCACTGTTCATAAGTCTATTAAAGCAGATGTTGAGCTGGTGAGCACAGCAGTTTTTACTGATACTGTTTGTGCTGCAACAGGCTGCAAAGCTGCAGGCTCCGGCGATGCTGAACGTTAGCTCCAATCTTTATTAATAAAGATGCCTGAACAGAAGGGGCCTCCCAGCAGCAGTGAGCAATTCTCTACAGCAAATAATCAAATACCCACACTTACAGCTATAACTGCTACCAGGAGCCGGTCCCACGGGTCGTAGTATCCTCCATCCTTTCGCTTGCCTTTCCATGAGACCTGACAATGCAAAGGAATACTTTCAGGTAAATAATTCCCTACCACAGACCGCATACTCTGTATTGCACTTTAATCTCCAATCAGCCATTTAAGTTATGTTGCTCAAGGCCTTTCTGAGCTCTGCAGAGACCCTGCTTGCACCAGTCTGACACCAATAAACCTCCATCAAAGTCCCCGGGGCTGCTCCCGGTTTAAAGCCACCGACTCCCAACTAATCCATCTCCCATCACTGGGGTTTGCCCAGTCCACAGGCTGAGAAACGCATGGTTTTTCCTTTAGATAGTTGGTGGAAGACTTGTTTCTTTCCTCATTTTAAAGCTGTAACACTTTGCTTACAGGAAAACCAGGGGAGGTTTAGACTAGATATAAGGAAGAAATTCTTTACAATGAGGGTGGTAAAACACTGGAACATGTTGACCAGAGAGGTGGTGGAGGCCCCATCCCTGGGAACATTCAAGGCCAGGTTGGATGGGGCTCTGAGCAACCTGATCTAGTTAGCGGTGTCCCTGCTCTCAGCAGGGGGGTTGGACTAGATGACCTCTAGGGGTCCCTTCCAACCCAAAACATTCTATGATTCTATGATTCCAAAAGCAGCGGTTGCTATTCCTCCCATGTTAAATGACGCTTCCCGTTAGCATTAGAGATGCCCACCCAACCCCAGCCCATCTACAAACGCCCTGGAGAGGATCTCCTGTGCCCCCTTACCTTTATAAAACAAATCAGGCAGCCAATAAGGGGGTAAATAGGAATGAAGATGGAGAAGACATAATGCAGGATGGTGGTTACCAGGTAATAGTCCAGAAAAAAGGCCACTTCGGTGACAACCGTACAGAGCAAGGCTGTCTGTACAAAAGAGACAAGAAAATAAAGTCCATTTTCCTTCAGTTCAGACTCCCTAAGCACGTTATCTAATCTGAGGCACATTTTTTAAAGCTCTTCTCATTTAGGATATGGCAGCAATATAGAGACATTGGTAAATGCTTCAAATTTCTGCTGCATTAAGGACACACCGTTAAATAAAATAGCTGGGAAGCCTGTTGTGGCCTTGGCAATACCCAACCTCCCTAGCCAGCCCAACTCAAGGTAAAGCTACTCACCACTGAAAATATAAACGACCAAAATTCTTTTGTGTTCTGGACTTTTTTAAATGTGAAGGAGACCACGTAAGTGAAGAGCACGACGGAGGGGACATAACCGATCAGGCAAAAAATCTGCAAAGACAGGAAAGGTTTCTTGGGAAATGTGCAGCAAGAACCTGGGGGGGAATTTTTTGTGTAAGTACCAGCTGGAATAACTGTAGTGTGCTACATATTTGATATATTTTGCCACCTCAGTACATACAGCATATACTATTACAGGCACAAATAAGAGTACATGGATAGGCAGGAACTTCACTCTCTCAGTTTCCTTTAAACTACTTCCCTTTTTTTTTTTTATAGCACAGGCTCTCATAAATGTTGACCTGAAGATTTTGGCAAATATTGGGAATTCCACCCTTCAGCCTTACCATTTTTGCAGAAATTAAAACAAGGGTAGATGCAAAAAAAATAGCCCTGCAGTGCAACGGACACATCCCAAGCCTGAGGAACTCAGCTCGTCTGGGAAAGCAGCTAGGAAAATCTGACGCTTCTCAATTACAGCCAATACCTCAGGGAAACCCGCTCTCTGAATATAAAAGGACACGAAGACTTGAAGTCCCTTCAATTTAATCATACGTTGCAATTCATTGCCGAGCTGGTCGGTGGTCAAAGGCACGGTAGCCTTGTCACTAGCAGCACGCCGATGCAAACGGAGCAGTTATCAATCGGCAGCAAAAGAGCACAACACAGACTGAGCAAGCAGGGCAAAGCAGGATGGAGCATTTCCTTGGAAGACCCTGGTATTTTAAAGCTCTATTTTCTTCCAGTTCTGCACGACACCCCAAAATTTGAGTATTTTTCCCCACAAAAAGTGCTTTTGGTGCAGCCTGACTGGTGCCTCCGTGCCAGCAGCCTTAATTAGGCTTTTCCCCTGTATATCGGTCGGGAAAAAAAAAACCTGCTGAGCTATCTAATAAAAATAAACATTGTGGAAAATAACGTAACCATGCTCTCCCATCCCCACCGCACTCACCACAGCAAGGAACTTGCCGACGTAGAAATAAACGCCGTAGTGAAAGGCGAAGAGGCTGCCTATCATCAGGACAAGGATCACAAAAAGTGCTTTTGGTGCAGCCTGACTGGTGCCTCCGTGCCAGCAGCCTTAATTAGGCATTTTCCCCTGTATATCGGTGGGAAAAAAAAAAACCTGCTGAGCTATCTAATAAAAATAAACATTGTGGAAAATAACGTAACCATGCTCTCCCATCCCCACCGCACTCACCACAGCAAGGAACTTGCCGACGTAGAAATAAACGCCGTAGTGAAAGGCGAAGAGGCTGCCTATCATCAGGACAAGGATGGAGAAAAACAGCGGGAGGTCAACGACGGCTTGCCCGGTCCAGTAAGCGGAGGGATAAAGCCCCGCTATCTTCAGCTGCGTGTACGCTTTGATCTGCAACAGGACAAGAAAACCTTAACGAAATATTACTTAAAATGAACACTGTGTTAACCTGCCTCGGTGTGCGAGCAGGATCTTGGGTTTCCCCCTCTAATAAACTGCTTTTACACCGATGTGGCATCAGCCTGTTACCTGGTTCCTGCCCATTTTAGCTGCCAAAGCAGCAAAAAGCATTTCCACGGAAAGCAAAAGGGCTTTTCCCAACTCTGCTCTACCCAAGGCAGCAAACAGCAGTCACATCCATGCCGCCTCTCATGGCAAAAGACGCTATTTAAAACACCCCTTAAAACCCTTGGGATTTTGGGAAAACCTTAAGTTTTTGTGCAGTCTATCAATCCACATCTGGGAATTTACCTTATGGTTTTCTGCATTGTCCATGGCAAAATAGGGTGGCATTCCAGTAATAATGATTCCCAGCAACACAGCTTCAAAATAGATCTCTAGTCTGAAAATTGTGTCTGGAAGATTCTGAAATATAAATCAGATTTCTTCAATACCAGGACCAAAAAAATGCATTTAGAATTGGAACATGACTGTAAATGCTAAAACTGTGTATCTCGATACCATCTGAGCCGCAGCAGGAAGGAAAATACCTGCGAAAGTTTTTGGAGTATTTATAAGAGCATCTAAGAAGCTCCTAGAACATTTATCTGCTGCAGGAGGTCCTCTCCTCTCCTAAAGGCCACCCCAGCTCTGCAGGGGAGACAGCAGACCTCCAGCATCCCGAGAACTGCCAGTAACCTTGAACAAACCCGTAACAGATTCCCAGTAGGAGATCCTCTTTCCAAGCCCCTTTTTCCTCCACCAAACCCCGGCACCTTTCAAGTCCTCTTCAATTCTGCAAAGGTCCATACCACCAGGGTCTTATTCCACGGGCTTCGGCTACTGGGGTCTAATCCTTCCTGAGGGTGCTTTGCAGAGCACAGCCCTTGGTGCTGCAGACAGTCCCAAACCAGCTTCTCCCTTCATTTACGGCGCATTTTTACGCACACCCCCCTCACCCCAGGGATGCTTTGCCACCCGCCCCGTGCTTACGGGTGATTTTTGCCGTGCTGCAGCCACGGGTGCCGCTCACCTGAACGAAGGGGTTGCTCCAGATCTGAATGCTCTCCGTCACGTTTAAATTGCGCAGAAGCAGATTGCTGACAATATTCATCAAAACTGGCAGGGAGTGCACCATGGTACTGTTGAATATGACCGTGAAAACATAGTTCTGGAAAGGAAAGGGTTTTCTCTATTAATTCTCCTGCACGACGGGCAACATCCTGAGAGGGCTCTCCTACGGGCTTAATTAAACCTGAACACTGGGAAAAATCTTTGCATTACAGAGCATGCTTTGCAGGAGGCTCTGGGGTGCTCAGGGTGGTTGCAACACGTAACCTAATTCAGGAAAACAGTCACGCTCCTAGAGAACAAACTATTTGGAATAAATCCCCGGAATGGTTTATGCAACGGCGATGCTATGACAAATGATGCTCCAGACAATTACAGTCTGAAAAACAACACACGCGGTGACCCGCACTCGTATGTTCTTGCTAATGCATTTTAAAACCAGACAGGCAAAAATTTACATTAGCTAAGGGCTGCACTGCCACGCTGATATTAACAGTTTGCCATGAATAAAAATGAGAACAAGAGACAGAGCTGACACATTGCAAAGCAGTTCCTTTGCTGGGGATTAAATACAGCCCCAGTGTTCAAATCTTTCCGACACTCCTTCGGTGACCACACTGAAATGAGTACTGACAATCCAAGAAACTCATTTTTCTTTACACATGAGAGCACCATGGATTATACTTCTGTCAAATTGTATAGTTCAGCCAGTGTAAGTTAAAAAAAAAAAAAAAAATAGATTCCTATGCCAGGTCTCTTGTGAAGTAAAATATTTCTCTTGGCTTTCTGCATCATAGAACCATAGAATGGTTTGGGTTGGAAGGGACCCCCAGAGGTCACCCAGCCCAACCCCCCTGCAGGAGCAGGGACACCTTGAACCACAGCAGGTTCCTCACAGCCCCGGCCAACCTGGCCTGGAATGTTCCCAGGGATGGGGCCTCCACCACCTCTCTGGGCAACCCGTTCCAGTGTTTCACCACCCTCATGGTAAAGAATTTCTTCCTTAGATCCAGTCTAAACCTCCCCTGTTTCAGTTTAAAGCCATCCCCCCTTGTCCTGTCACAGCTGGCCCTACTAAAAAGATTTTCCCCACCTTTCCTCTGGGCCCCCTTTAAGTACATCCTTGTGGGGAAGAAAGGGGGATGGAAGTTCTATTAGCCTACCACAGTTATCATTATGCAAGAACATTGATTTTGACAATATTTCCATTCTGTTAACACCAGTCCTGTTTGAAGGCCTCCTGTATAAGCAGTACTATATATAATTTGATTATATGGCTCAACACGGGCCTTTCAGGCAAGAGTACAGCAAAACCAGCCCCTAACCAGCTGCTTGGGACACGACTGAGCCAGTCTGTCCACCTTACCTGCCTGGATTCAAGGTCAAACACGTTTAAAGCTGCGCTGTGAGGTGCAGCTGAGACGTAATCGCTGTCATTGAACATCTCCAGGAGTATGTTCATGCTCCCAAGAGAGCGGACAATGTCATCGATATCCGATTCTGGTGGAAGACACAGAACACAACGTGATTACTCGTGACCACCTTGGAGTATTTTACACAAAATTATCGATGCGTTTTCCCACTGATAGAACCCTACGATCAAAGACCACTGCTCCCTCACACATGACAACCAGAAAAAAAAAAAAAAAAAAAGTCCTCTGCTGTTTTCAACAACATGAATGATTTTATTTTGGCTTCCTACTCAACACCCTCCGAAGCATTCAAGGAAATGTTTTGGGGTTATATGCTCTAACTGATTTGTGCAAGCCAAATGCAGCGGTGAAGAAGCCAAGGTTGCCAAGGAGCATCATCAGGACGCTCAAAAGTTTCAGCTGAACAGAGAATTATCTACAAGAGCAGGACGCCAGCAGCACTTTGATACAGCTTCCAGAGAAATGAAGCTGTATTAAGCACAAGTTCCTGATAGCTCAAACAGACGCTCGTTTCTATTGCCTGGACCGCTGCTACGCACTTTTAAAACATCCTCAGTTGAAACAGAAAGGAATTTTCCAAAATGCTTTGTAGCAGGATTTTAATGTTGATGTACCTAAACGTCCCTCTGGCCAGCTCCTTCACACGCATCATCTTACGACGTACCGAGCACAAGGCCACCGGACACGGGAGGAAGAGGAGGAAGATCTCCAAAGCAAGCACTACAGCGCTAAGGATACTCGCTTTCTACCATCTCTGGCTACTTGGAAACTCTTCATTTGGGTTAATTTCTAGCAAAAAGTTTGTTCCAAACCCCCAAAGTAGCACCCACCATCTTTCCCCACCACGTGACATGCTGCGTTTAAAGAGAGCGGTGGAGAGGGGAGCCACCCCCGCAGAGCATCTCTGCTCTCCTACCTGTGGAGTTCTGCAGCAGGAGGCGGCTCCTGTACTTGTGATAGTCCTCTCCGGGCTTCAGCAAGTACAAATCTGGGGAAAGTTTGATAGCAGCTACAGAATTTTTGATGATGTGGTGTATGAAAAACAACAAAATCTGAACGACAAGAAAAATGAGAAAAAGCAACAACCTGAAAGAAATAAAAGTTTCGGTTTTATTACAATCCAGCGAAAGCCAACCCAGCTTACGTGCATGTTATTAAAACAACATCTCCCTTGCCCCGAAAAAGCACATGTTCAACAGTAATACTTGTTCACGTTGACATGTAACTATGGGGAAAAAATAATTAATTGCATCCTGCTGTTTCTCTGGTATTATTCAAACAGGTTTTGAGAATTTTCTATTTAAGCGAGCGCGCCCCAATACTCACATAACTCGCACGCATTTGTTTTCCCGCTTGAGGCTGAGAAAGTGAACTTTTGCTATGGTGGCAACCTGCTTCTTCCAGAGGGCTGTATTGCTCATCGCTGGCGCCTTCGTCTCCGAGAGCATCAGGAGGCTCTGCTCCATATCGTCGAGGGATTTGGTATCCATTTCATCCTGCACTTGCTGGGAACTGAACACGCTATAATCTGAAAAAGAAGAGCATAAATCTCTACAAACCTGATGCTCTGTGCCAAAGCTACGTGCTTTGAAATGGGAGGGCTGGAGAAAGCCGGGTGGTCGTCGATTCCTTCCCCTTGCTATTGGGGAAACCATCTCATCTCAACCCCATCTCTCAACTTAACCTCAAGCTCAACGACACCAATCTCCCCAAAAGCCCTGGATCAGCCGCACAGCAGACCCTTAAGGCAGATGACACAAATTTCCACCACCCAAAAGGCGCAACTCACCCCAGTTTCACACCATTAGCCTATGCATGCACCTGTATATTCAGTACCAGCACGTTCAGCTGTTAAGCCCTCTTAGACCCATGCAAAAGCTTTGAGAGCAGGATAGTTTATTAGGCTGTATCACAAAGAAGGCTCTAGAATGATTAGGATAGCTTAAACCATCCCAAGTTGACATCAAAAGAAGAACTGATTAATTCTGTGGTAATATCAAGCAGTCCCAACTTTTCGTTTGAACTGGCAGTTAATTTAAAGGAGGGGAAGGAAGCCAAGTTCAGCTACTTCAGCCTTAAGCGCAGGCTACTAATATCACTGTTCACCAGAAGGCTGGGAATGAGTTTTATGAGTGCAGGTACAGTTTCTTGGGAGTAAGCTCCATTAGGAAAATAAAGCACATTTTAAAAAGCTAGCCATAAAAAGCACAAAGAAGTTAGATGGAAGTATGCTGGATGAAAAGTCATTTACTGCAGGGACAGCCAGTGAAAACCTTTTCCCCTGGATCCTCCTAGGGTCATTCCCCTCCCAAATTCGCTGCTTCTGCAGGCTTCTCATGTTAAATATTTCAAAAGCTTGGAATGCCGTGAGGCTGAAGGAGCCCCGTGCTGCTGGATGTAGCACTCCGTGAGAGGATTTTTTTATTCTTACCCCTGTAGCAAAGCTCCTTCTGGCAGTGACATGGCATGGACAATTCTATGCTAATTAAGACTAAATCAAATATGAGGGAAAACAGGGAAACAGTCACAGTCCATCCCACCTGCTTGATCGATCTCCGCCTCAACTTCCAGCTTCAGATAGACATCCTCCAGCGTCGTCATGGAAACGCCATAGGTGATAACGCCCAAATGGGAATGAGTGTCGAGGTCAGAAAACAAGCCTAGAGACAGAAGCGACACACGCTGGTTCTCTGGAACAGGATCACATCACCTTCCCGAGAGACCTTCAAGCCCACCAGAGGCATCCCTGATAGCTGGCGACGCGTAAACAGGGTTGCTTAATTACAAAGACAGAGGAGGTGGCTTGAGAACCAAGGTTGGGATAAGCTCCTTTTAGCACAAAGCTTCAGCCTCTGCGGGCAGGTATGGGAAACGTGGCATGTTTTTCCCTGAAGCCGTATGAAAACCACTTCAGCATCCTAAAGCTTAGAAATACCACGCACAGGGACTGCAGGACAGCTCATCCTACCTAGATCCCTGCCCAGGCACAAAGAGATTTTACAGACAAAACCACTGAGTAGGTTTTTACATATATATATTTTTTTATATATATATATAATATATATATATTTTACATATATATA